TGGAAGCACTTATGTTTCTGTTTATGATGAATTTAAGAAACATTTTTATAGCGAAAATAATCAAGATGAAAAAATTATCTCTTACTTTACTTTTAGAAAACTCTGGCAAGAAACAATTCCTCATCTTAAATTTCAATCACCCGCGAGCGATCTTTGCGAAATTTGTAAAGTCTTTAAAACAAAGTTATTAGTAGCAAAATCTGATAAGAATAAATACGATCAAATTAAGATTCAATATGATCAATACCGTGAAGCAGCAGATCGGGAAAGACAACATTACAATAACAATATAAACAAAAGCACAAAAGATTTATCAATTGCACATATTTGTTATGATTGGGCACAAAGTATATCAATTCCATACTCACCGCAACAAGTAGGAACAATTTATTTTAAAAATCCATTTTCAGTTTCTTTATTCGGTGTATGTAAAACAGAAGGTGGTCAAAATTCTTAATTAAACTTTGTAATAGGAGAAGACGAATTTCCAAAAGGTATTTCTAAAGAAGCAAATACTACAATTAACATGGTTTATCACTCTCTTCAAAGATTTGCTCGCGAAGGAAAAAAAAAGTTGTATATTACTTGTAACAACTGTAGCGGTCAAAATAAAAATAATTTATCACTTTTTTTTACTGTTGGTTAGTAATGTTAGGTTGGTATGAAGAAATTACAGTGAATTTTATGATTCTGGGTCATACAAAATTTATATGCAATTCTTTTTTTGGTAAAATAAATAAACTATATAGAAATCATAAAATTAATATATTAACTGATATTGAATGAATTATCAATAATTCATCTAAAGGAAATACAGCAATTCTATATAACAACGGATTAGGTTGGACTTGGAATGATTTTTCTTTTTTATTTAAAGATCATTTTAAAAATTTTTCCTATATAATGCAATACCATCATTTTAGGTTTAATAATTTACCTAATGATATTGGAAAAGTTTACGTGTCAACAGAATCTGGGGGAAAAGAAATATCTTTTCAATTATTATATGATAGTAACTTTAATGTTAATACTGCATTAGAAGCTATAAATACTAAACAATTAACAACAGAAAGAAAATACTATCTCTATACAAAAATTAGACAACATGTAGATGACCCATACAAAGATTTGTATTGCGCAAATCCAGAATAAACTAAAAATAAAATAAATATTAGCCATTTATTTATCTTATAAATTAAATATATTTTTTGAATCATTTTAGCGCATAGAATATAGATAATATAACTTACCAGAAAGAAACAAATAACGGTGATGTGTGTTAGAAAAGTAAAATAATGATAAACTATGAAACAGTAATGAAACATTGACAAAATGGCAGCGAAATAGTGGCGAGACGGCAATGAAGTGACGGCAGCACGATGACGAAATAGGGTGGAATAGCGACGAAACGGCAATGCATCGGCAATGATAAGAATTAAAGTGAAAAAAAAAACTAGAGAAAAAATTCACATATAAACATGAAAAGAAGAAAAACACCAAATAGCATTAAAAAAAAAGCAAAATGAAAATAAAGAAAAGATTTGGCTACATACCTGCGTGAACCTGAAGCAGAGAAAACATCAAGACAATGACACAGTGACAACAGTACCAAGGTGATAACAAGAACCAAGAGAGAGAAAAAAGGTAAGCGAAAAGGTAAGAACAAGAATTCGACTACATACCAACCAAAATCAACATATTGGACTAAAGTAAAGAAAAAAAAGCAAACGAAGAGAATAAAGGAAAATCGATTAAATACCTGCAAAAATCAATGTATGGTTCTAAAGCAAAGAAAAACACCAAAGCAATAACAGTAGTGACAGAGACCAAAAACCCGTGAAGAGAAAGAAAAGGCAAAAAACGCAAGAAACAGATAAGAGCAAGCATTTGACTACATACTAGCCTAGAACAACATATTAGAATAAAGCAGAGAAAAAAAACAAGAAAGAGAATAGAGAAGGAATTTGTTACATACTTGCAAAGATCAATTCATGAATTTCAAGCAAAGAAAAACCTCGACAAAAGCATAGCCACAACAGAAATCAAGATAGTGACGACAATCTGTAAAAGAAAAATAAAGTAAGAAATGCCAGCAAAGAATTTGATTACATACCTGCTAAGATCAAAATATGTGACTGAAGCAGCGAAAGTAACGATGGTAAATCTACAGCTCAAGGTGTAATAAAAAACAAAGGCCACGAAGAGAAAAAGGCAGAAGTTTAACTAGAAAAACAATAAATTAGCTTCAAAATCAAAACATGACTCCAATATTACAGTATTAGAGTAAGTATAGACCTAAAATCAGAAAATGTAATGTAAAATACTGCACAATTAAAAAAAAAAAAAAGCAATTTATATTTAAAGTTTGTATTACATTACAGTATCTTGAAAGTGTTCTGAAGTTGGTTTATTGTTTACGTAGATCACTTCTCAAATCTATTTTTAGATTTTATATTCAAAA